ATCTTTAATAATACTTAAGATATATAGAATTTATATATATTATATATATAAATTTACAAAAAATATATTTTTTATATTATGAATAAAAAGATTTCTGTATAAATATTCTGTATCAAGTGATATGGAATTCATTAGAAATTTCGTAAAATTTTATACAGAAATTTTTATGGAAAAAATTCAGTATTAATTCAAGATAATTTTAGTATATTTTTTTTCATAGGGATTGGCAAAACAACTCCAGCCAACTTACCAGAAAGTGTAGCCATTCCTCTTTTGACTGAATTATACTTTGACTGCCCTAAAGCATGTGTACGTACTGACAAGTAATCAAGATCGAATTTTTAAAAATCTTGCAATATGATTTAATATTTTTAAGGTGTCTAGAATTCTTATCAGATCCACTATCAACTAATAACACCCAAATCAGTTTTATTTCACTGTTTATTTTTAATATTTCAGAATATTGATTATCCAACACAAGACTAAAAAGATCCTTCATATGGGTAATAGATGATGTGCCGATTAACTATTGAGGCCTAACGACGATTGAAACTTGTTCTGTCTAAAAATTATCATTAGTTTCACTCAGTTTAATCATTAGATAAACTGAAGGAATTAGTTTTTGGCTACTTTCATGTACGAAATCATGATCAGGTAATTGGACTGGTTGAGAGGAAGATTGTAAGATATGAAACGTTCTACCAACAGCAGCTATTCCTAAACCTATTTTCATCTTATCATCTTGTGAGATGATTACAGAAAGATCAGCAAAGGTTTGTACAAATTGTCTTATACTCTTTACAGAAGCAAGACAATAGTAGCCATCAGAATGGTACTTTATTTCATCACATGAAACTTCAGCTACAGCTACCTAGGCAGAATGATAATACACCTTTGCTATAAGTGAGTTGGAACAATGAGGCAAAAGGTAGTTGTTTAGAGTTGTTCTTGCCATATAGATGCCATAGTTTTTTTCAAGATTTTCTCTTAAATAATTCACAATTCTTACTTTAATTGCTTCTTTACATCTTTGTGTATTTGCTGATCCATATTCGATTGAATTATGAATATGTTCTAGTAAGTCTGAGTTCTGAAGTAAATATGATGGTCTACCATATTTGTTATACCAAACTACCTCTTGTTGTTTTTCTAATGCTTTAACTTTTTTAGAATGACATTTGGACTGATAATCAGCATTTCTTTCTAATTTTCGCAATATGTCTTTATGTGATTAAATATTAGTTTTTAGACTTGTAATCTTGTTATGTAAGTTACGTCAAAATTGTGAATCAGAGGTAAAGTTATATACTTGTTCTAGCTCTTTGATTTTTGTTTCAGCAGCCTCTATAGAACAAGCTGCCCATTTTTGTGCTAGTGCATTATTCCAAATTTCTTTTTCTGTAAGAATTGCTGTCACAGCATGAGAACTACTGATTGTAATTTTTGGAATGTTTGTTTTTTGAGATAAAACAGTAGACCTGATGAATCCTCTTAATTTAATAAGTATAGCTAAATATCTTTTTTATTATATCATCAATTTTAGTTTCCTCAAATATTTTAATATTTTTCCACTCCTTCGCAGCAGTGTCACATATATATAATCGACTTGGGATCAAATTTTCATTTTCTACTATAAAATGGTATACAAATGCATTAGTAAACTGCTGATATTTAGTATTTGGAGATTTGTATATGTAAGTTTTATCAAACTTGGGATTAGAAAGAAAGGTTTGTCAACTCATTATGTTTGAAATAAAATAAGAATAATAAGTTATAAAAAACTGATCAAATTTATTTAATTTGAATTTTGACTAATTATATAAATAATTTTTTTACAGAAGTTCAATATATTTGTTAAGATTAATATAGAATATAGATTGCATAATTTGCAGCTGAACTTGTGTTGTACAATATGAGTTCTTCTTTATTTCGTGTATAGTTAATACATCTTATTTAATTAAATATCTTAACTAACTTATATCATATGATCTACTTTATAATTTTACTTATTATACTAAATTCATGTCTCAATCAAATTCGCATAATTTGATCTATTATTGATATCTAATTAAATTTTTGATTTTGATACCATTTGAATTGTCTTATTGAAACAATTCAAATCATCAACAAGAATTGATCATTAGATCATGAGATATCAATAATATATCAAATTATATGAATTTGATTAAGATATGAATTTGGTAAAAAAAAGGCATATATTATTAATAAAATCATGAAATAACAACTGTAGGTATTATTCTGATTAAATTCTTAAAAATAATATATTTTGTTTTGAAATAATGTTTATGAAGCGTTTAAAAATTTCATATAGCAAATACATTAGGTGATTTGGTAATCAAGGCTGAAACTTGACATATCTTATATTGGATGTAATCAAGCAATACATAAATTACTAAAAATGCACAAACTCCAGCTATTGAGATTTTACTATCAAGTTTATTTGTTGCAGCCTTGAAACTATACAAATCTGAATGCATTCATATCACATACTTTTTTTCTGTAAGTAATTTTTTTTTTTTTGCTAGTTCAAATTTGGCTTAGATCCTTTTTTTTGTGTCATGTATTTATTATATTAAAAGGCTATGGCTATATCACATTTATTTTTTTTTATCTATATTGTAGAAAGAAAATTCAAACATATGCACCTTGTTTAGAAACTTGGCAAGACTTAGAGTTAGAATTTATAATATCTGACTAGATTGTTAAATTAGAATCAAAGCTCTAATTACCTACTTTTATGAAAATATTAGGTATAATGTGCAGCATAGTGTGTTTCAAGAACAAATAGACTTGAAGTTATTGAATTCAGTTAATTTTTGATATATAGAGAAGCGGATAGCAAAAGCAGGGAATGGAACTATATATTATATATAGTCCTATCCTCTGCTTTTACTGTGGGTGTTCTTATATATAGTATGTAATTTAATTTGAGCATTATCGGATTTTTTCTTGGCACACCCAAATTAATTACTATTATACAGTAACTTAATACAGTATGGTATTCAATTCAAGTAATATAGTGCTGATGCAAAAGTTTGGTAGTACTATGATCTTTGAACCAAATCGAATAAAAAGCTTCAAAAAAAATTTTTTTTTTGAGATCTAGATATTAATGGTTCGATAAAATAAATTTTCACTTTAATTAAGCTTGAAGATTGCTTTGCTAGAGATTGGACTGGCTAGAAATTTGCTAAAATAATAATTTACCTGAATAATCTGAGTAATTTAATAATATTCAGGTAGGGTCAAATCTTTACACAATACTGTTCACTTTTTGCACTATCACTATGCCACTCTTGAATTGAGGAATGCTTGGTTTAACCAAATTTCACAGATTGAATGAAGGCAAATCAGGCCCACTAGGCATTATATAATCCTGATAAGAACCTGATTTGAAACTGATATTTGGCAGAAATAGAAGATCTTTAGGATACAAATTAGGTTCAAATAGGCATTTAATACATATCGGAATGCCAAATAGCTCAATTGATAAATTGATAAAGCTTGCTTTATAGCTTTATCGATTTACCAATTGAGCTATCAGCATTCTAATATGTATTGAATGCCTATTTGAATCTGATTTGTATCCTAAAGGTCTTCTATTTCTACCAAATATCTGTTTCAAATTAGAGATTATGTAATACTGGGTAGGGCCTGATTTGCCTTCATTTAACCTGTGTTTATTATCTACTTTACAAAAATAAATTCTGTTACCTGGTCTGCATAGAGTTGATTTAATAGCAATAGCATCTTGGAATTATTATTTTCTATTTGTATTTATAAATTAATAAAAAAAATTATATTTATTTTTTATATAATATAATGTAATTTTTAAATCATTGAATTTGATTGGTTTAAAACCTATCTTATATAGAGGAGAGGGGGTAACCCTATAGTAAAATGATATTATGTAATATCTGTCACTACTCTAACTATATATACTAAATGTCAAGACTATTATCTTAGGTTTTTTTCAATCTTTCTATACTTAAAATTAATTTAAAACAATTAATAATATATTATATAAAAATAGAGGTGTAATATTATATTAGGTGTTTTAAAATAAGTAGTACCAATGTAGTTTAGAAATCTTTAATATAATTATCTTATTATCTAATAAAGGTTCTACTTTGGCATTTCAAAAAAAAAAAATTATTTAATAATTTTTTATTTAATAATTTTTTATTTAATAATTTTTTATTTAATAAAATATTTATAAAATTATATTAAAATATATATATTGATATGCAATCACACTCTTTTCAATAATCATCTGGACCAAACTTTTCAAAATGCTGAATTACAAAAAAATAATATAGTTAATATATTAAACTTTATAAAAACTTCTCTGAAGCATTGGGCATGCATAGTGGGCATTGAAATAGAGTTGAAAAAGAAGCTATCACTTTGTAATAATAGTTTAAAGAAGCTCTGAAACTATAGAAAAAGTGGTTAGTGAAAGCAAAAGTCTCTTATAAAGTAAACAATGATGTTAGATATATTATTTCTATACAACTATAAAACTTACAAAAAACTTTCAGAAAGGTTAAGCACTCACAAAAGCTATAGTTTAGTTCTTCTTACATCTTCTCTTTTTTTCAAGAAAAATTTTATAAAAAGTAGGTGATTCAGTTTACCTTCTTCAAAAGATTGACATGCAAAATACCAAAACATTTAGCAGTATTTACTTTCTAATCAGGATTATATAAACAATACAGCTATATAAATACTACTTATATATATACATTGAACTACTAAAACTCTATAAAATACTGTCTTCAGACTAACTAATACCCCATGCTGACTTTCTATATTCAAATCAAAGTTTTATCCTATATGGTTTTTGTTAAATATTCTAGTAGATAAAAAAATAGTAGAGTTATTTCTATTTAGTATAGTTTATAATTTTTAAAAGTCTAATACAGACTTATAATTGTGACCATCTGATAGTTGTATAATAAGAGTTACATATATCTTTTTTTTTTTTTTTTTTACTTTTTTTCTTTCTTTCTTTTATTTCTTGTATTTGTATCTTTTATCATCTATTTCTATATCTCTGTATTTTTTTTATATAAGTTTTTTTTGTTTTTGTTCACTTCTCTATAAGAAGATGTTATCAGATTAGCAATATCCTATTGTAGAGTAGTAGTCAGATATGGTCTCTAATGTATTCTAATTTCTTTTGAAGTTAGATAGTCAATGCAGACAGATTACTCATAAGGACTTATAGAAGTATCTGCAAGATATTGGGCCAGAATTTATGAATTAATTTATATATATATAATACAAAAATATATAATAAAAGTAACTAGCAAGACTGCTTAAGTAAAGAAAAAAAAAATAAATAAAATATATATTAAAAGATAACTTAAAATCTACTTTATATAATATAAAAAAAATTATAAATAAATTAATAAAATTTAAAAATTTTTATATATAAAGAAAATTATTTTTTAGTTTTAATATGAAGTAACATTAATAAAAAAAGAACAAATCATTTTTAGTAAATTTTTTTTTAATTTTTAAATTAAAATAACTCAACAACTATCTAATCAAATTTGATAAAATTTTTTTTTTTTTAATCTTAAAATTATATAGAATTAAAATAAAAAATTTTTTAGCAAATTTAATAAAATAGTTGTTAAGATATTTAAGCTTAAAGTCAAAAAAACTTTTATTTAGAAAAAATTTGTCTTTTTTTTATTAATGTTACCCCATATATTAGAAGGAATAATATAAACTATATATATAATAAATATATAAACAAATTGTCTAATTAGAAAATTTTTATATTTACTTATATTTAAATAAGATTTAATTTAATATTTTTTAATAATTAAAGATCTAAATAACTAAAATATAAAGTTATTTAATAATTTTTTTAAAAATACTAATAATAATAAATTTTTTTTTGGTATTAAAATGATTTTTTTAGTTTTTTAATTTTTATTAATAATTTTCTTAATAATGTAATTTAGTAAACTATTACAAAAGAGTATATAATTGACTATATATATAACTTTTCTATATTATCTATTTAAAGAGTTTGTCTAAAAATTTTCTATCAATTACTGTACATAACATCTCTGCTTAGATGTTCTATTTTAAACCTTCTAAATTTACTATTTATGTTAATATTACTGGATTATACTTAGATACCAGATTATTATCTCAATTTTAGAACTATTTTATTATCAAAATAAATCTTTTAAAGCCTTTTGTATATATTTTTACAGCTGACCTAATATTGCTATAACAAAACCAACACTTGTAGTTAGAATTATATTATTTAACTGCTATGTCTTTATAGAGTTTATACAAACTCTAATATATACTTCACAGTATAACTTCAGTACTTTAATATACTTTTGTTTTTTATTTATTTTTTTATCAGATTTCTAATTCAGATAACTTATATAAGATTACAACCAGTTCATTAATATACCAAATTAGTCTAATATTCTTTTCTTTTGATTCATTCTGATGGCTTGGTTAGTAGTACCTTTGAGACTTCTAACTCAGAAATTCTTGCCTATTTGAGTACTATGACTAAATACTATGATTTTGATATCTGTTTTTTTAAGCTAATCTTTACAGTAAAACCATTAAAGATCTAGTTATTTTTCTATTCAGATCTTTTCAAATAGATTTTTTGTTACCCAATTTCAACAAATTTATATAAATACAAGAACTTATCTAGTGTTTGTATCATCTAATTGTTAGTTTGTATTTTTCTGTATAATGCTATACTTATACAGATGTCTTATGACCTGCCAGTTATGATAGTATGACTGCTATTACAGGTATTCTAACCTAATCATTAGTAACAGTTGTCATAATATGAATATTACATAGGTGATTATTCAAATTTTCACTGTTAATAGGATTTGAACACCCAATCTATCACTTAAGAGGTTGATAACTTGATTACTTCACTAGGTTATTACATCCTAATAATAATAATTTAAAATCTTAATATTTTTAAATTTTATTAATAAAATATTTATTATATTTACTAGTTTCAACTAAATTTTTATCTTAAAATTTAACTAAACTCTTATTATTAAACCTAATTTTAATCAAATCTTTATTACTAATTCCAATCTAACCTTTATTAAAAATTTTAATCAAATCTTTTATCATTAATTCTATTTAAACCTTTATTGTTAATTACAATTAAAAACCTTTATTACCAATTTTAATTAATCTTTTATTACCAATTCCATTTGAACTTTCTTTACTAAATTTATTTAACCTCTTACCAAGCCTAAAAGCTTTAAGATCATACTTAACTAAACTATTATTATCAAATTTAACAATTCCAAAAAACAATAATGTATAAATTTATATTATATATGTAATACATTATTTATTTTAAAACTATTACATATTCTTTTTTTTTGTCATACCAACTTTATTGCAAATATGCAAATAAATCACTTGATAGCTATCAGGATCAAATGAAAAACTAAATATTAAAGAAAAAAAACAAACCTAAAAATTCTATTAATAAATATGCCTGTATTACAGTTCTCAAAATAGATTATAATCATGTTGACTGACATACTTTATTCTGTAAAGTAATTGAAGAATTATTTGACAAGATGTACTATTTGCAATGTAAAAATGAAATTCTTGATGTAACTTTTAATGCAAATGAATTTATACCACTGAGTCTAACCAAATATGAAGAGCTTGAAATTTGTGAAAATAAAGTTATTAGTGTATGTGAAGCTGCAAGAATGCAATCAATGTCAACCGTAACTGGAGTATACTGTAATTGTAAAAGCGAGTGCAAAAATAATAATTGTAAATGTAAACGCTCTGGTATGCCATGTGGAAGTAGTTGTCATCCACATACGTAGTACAGAATGTAAAAATAAATAATATATAATTTTTATTTAGTTTTATTTAGTTATATATTTTTTAAAATAAATAATTTTTAATAAATAATTTTTATAACTAAATTTTAATTGATGATTTTTAAAAATTCTATTTCCACCAATATTTCAAATCAAATTAAGTGGATTCGGTATCGATTCGGAATCTACAGAATTCCGAATCCACTTACAATCATAATACTTTGCTATATCGATTTATAAATTTCGAACAATTTCACTATTATTTTGAATTTTATGCATCAATAATAATGGTATTTAAAACATCATAAAAAAATGCATAAACTTAGTATAAAGCTTTTGGGCTGCATCGAAGAGGTTCAGAAACTTCGGCAACCATTTGACAGCGAATTTTTTCTGCCACCGAGAACTTGGCTTAGGACTCGGCTAGGACATTACGAAATATGATGTAATTATTACGTATGATATAATTATTTAATTATTTCAACTGTTTTATGCTTAAATATGACCAAATCCTCGCTTTAAATATGACAAAAGGTAAAAAAGTATATATATATATATATGGATGCCATTTGTTTGGCTTATTTGTTAACCTTTTATTTTCTATACGTGATGTTCTAAATGTTTTATGATCCATAGTTGAACCAACACACAAAGGTTTAATCAGGGCTCGTGATGGTCACATTTTAAGTCTCGATTCTTCCGGACTTTTGCAATTCAAATGGGATGTCATGAATGATAGTCCTACAATGTTTGAAATTTCAAAAAATGGAGAACTTCTTGATTATAAAGGAGATCGTGTTTATTGGATTCAAAAAGGCGATGGACCAAAGGAGAAAAAGTATTGGTTTAGGGTTGAGAAGTTTGGACCTAACGAGGTGAATTTATAAAAGGTTTCATTTGTCATCATTAAATTTGTTTGAAAGTTGCTTAATACCGAGAAATCCTTTTGGTTTTTTTTTCTTTTTTTTTTAAAGTTCTTTTTAAGAGCAGTTGAACCAGAAAATGGGGAAACTGGAAAATATCTTACGATTAAGTTAGAGGATTTGACATTGAAGGATCAAGCTTCAGCTTTATCTGAATTCATTATTACCAAGGATATTTAGTTTTTTTTTATTTGTCGTCTATCGCAAGGTACTTAAGTATAAATATAACAGAGGTATTTATGATTGGTTTTCACGTGTTATAAGAATGTCCAGCCTTTTAAATTATATCTTATATTGTGTGTGACTGTTTTGTTATCTTTTGGTGAATGAGAGATTTTACTGATAAAGTTTGTAAAAACAAATGGTGTAATAATTAGCGTTAGAGGCATCATCAGAAAAGTAATAACACTATTATCTTGAAATTTATGATATTGACAAAATTCGAATTCTACTAAAGGTTCTTTAACCACATGATACTTAATGCTATGTACAATGTAGATTTAATAATGTATTAACGTTTATTACTTTGGACCCCAAGGAGGTTATTTGTTTGGATTACGTTATAAAGGTTACTCCTTTAACCTTAAGATCAGGGATGCGGTAAGCATTTATATTGCTAAACAAACAGATACGTATAGTTACAGGAGAATTCATCGTAAATGCAAATAGGTAACAATAAATTTGCAAAACATAGCACAATATAATGTGAGAATTTCTTTATTAGAAAAAAAAAGATATAGAGGCCAAAGTAAATTAAATTTGATCAATAAATTTTGATCACATGACCAAAGAAATCAGTGCCGGCATGCAAATCCGAAACGAGAAGAGAAAAAAAAGTGGGAAAATGAATGGTTTAAAAGGCAATTTTACATACATATAATGTTGGGCCAATTTAACTCGTGTAAATGTCGGATTTGTTTAAGATCCAAAATTAAAATGATTATTAGTAATATGTATAAGAATTTTTCTTAAGAAAAGTCTATGAAAAATTTAAGAAAATATTTTAAATTTAACCACTTATATTTCTTTCTTAACTATTTGAAATACCTCCCAATCCTTCCATCTAAAACTGCCTTGTCTATTGAAAACACCTGATTTATAACATCTATGTTGACGATGTCCCAAAGGTTGATCGCGTTTAGTATTAACATAGAGATCTGGACCAGTGCCGAAACACGGGCCATCTTGTGGATGATCATATATAGCAGAATCCACTTGATCAGATAAAATGAAACCACATTTCGCATCTTCAAGTTCTGCTTTTTTTGTATCAGTGCCAAGAGAAAATATAAAACAACCTTTTGATCCACGACTAAACGAAAGCCACCCTCTTTGCCAACCAACATTTAGCGCATTATAACCACCAATTATTTCGTTAGTACCTTCGACTTTTATTACAATGAGCGTTGGACCAATATTATCACACAGTTTGTGAAAAGAATCACTATCACCACAACTTGCACTATATAATAGATTAAAGTCATAAGTGCAATTAATATTTTTATTAGATTGGAATGGTTTTTTCTCGATCCAACTTATAATGATCTTGGCACATTTCGGATTAATAATAACAGAAGAATTGATTCGTATTGCAGGATTTCTTGGTGATGGTAGCGTTTTTGAATAGAGACAGTTTGTTTGGTGATAGAGAGTAATATTGTTCAAAAGATCTTCGGGTAAGATCTTTGCAAAAGGTTGAACATGTCTATAGAAGTCAGAACGAGACATTTGAAAAAATCTAATGTGTGGTATGCATCTATGCAGAGTCTTTTCTAAAGTTGTAAAATCTTTAGGAGACCATTGTTCAACGCGTCTTTCAAGACCAGAAGTGTTTGTGATACCCCACTTTAAAACATAGTTCCAGAGAACAGTTTCACTTAATCCAAGGTCATCGCGTTGTAATAAAGCCAAAAGTATTGATTCGTCTATAGAGGGGAACCAATCAGTATCAAAGAAGGATAACAGATCACGTAAAATTATTTCATCAAGACAATAGTCTCGTAATTTTTGACAAGAATCACGGGGAGAAACAATAGTAAGAATATCTAAAAGGTTCTCGTCTATCCAAGCAGCTTTTGAATGAATCAAATAAGTTTGAACATGATTCATTAAAACATCATCAATCATTATTTCGTCAGCAGCAATAAGAAGATCAAGAATGTCAAAGGGGTCATAATCATCTAGTTGAAATATATCACCATAAATATATCTATAAAAGAAATAAGAAACTAAGTACATGATCGAGAATTTGCATTTATAATTTTCAGACTTACCTTAATATTATTTCGAAAATATTGGGAGATACATTAGGTTTCTCAAATATGATAATATTTTCTTGTTTATTTGTCCATTCACATGATAAAGCTCTGTGGAAATAAGGAGACCTAGCTCTCAATATTAAAGAATGAGCTTTAAATTCTTGAGTATTTGGATATTCACCAACTTTTATTTTGACATCATATCCTTCAGGACTATGTATTAACTTTATGATATCGCCGGACAACTGCGTTAACAATTCAGAGTACATTTTTATTTTTATTTTTTCTTTTTAGAAAAAAAAAAAGAACGAAAAAAGAGGAATATTAGCTGATTAAAGGATTATATTTCCAAGTGATCTTATTTTATTTTATTTTTGCATCATCATTACAAGGGTGTTTTTTTGTTAATCTTAAATGCTTGACGTTATTCATTAATTATTATGTACTAAACAGTAAATGGAATATGAAAAATGTGTTAAATATCTAATTCAAAATTAGTAAGACAAAATATTGTAGTATTGCTGTTATTGCTGTCTATATCTAGTGTATTGTTCTTTTTTTGAATGATAAACCAAAAGATAACATAAATTGGTTAATACCACTAGCGTTATTTAGAAATTCAATTAGGATCATGTGTGATATTCGTGCCATTCATGTCATTCTTGTCAATGACCAGTCTACTTGCACTCCTAAAACGGAAACAGAAAATCACTGAGTTCAAATTTTTTTTGATTATGAGAAAAAAAAAAAAAGAAAATTTACTGTAAAATAAGATTTAAACTGAGAAGTTAAAAAAGGACGAATGAAATTTATGACCAAACTAACGTCCTAACCCTAAATTTATACCTTTGTGTACATATGTACGTCCTTATATTAAATTTCCCCTTTTTTAGGATTATAATACTCATGCAAATAAGTAAATTCCGTGACATTTATCTTCATACCGATACCGATACCATTGTCATGATCTTATCAGCATCGCAAACCAAATTTTTGCGTCCGCAAGAATGACCAAGAATTATAAGTAGAATTAAGTGTTAAAATAGTTTTACTAAACAAATTGGCATAATAGAATTTTATGATTTTTTTTAGTGTAACATGTCCAAATGAAACAACCATTGACAATATGTTCGTTATCATGGGCCAGATCAGTTGATCATGGAGAACCTGACCTGATCCAACCTAGTCCGATCTAGATCCAGTCCTGGCCCAAAACTAGTTAAACTCCAGATATTATTGTTATGTGATTATAATTGGATTGACATAAATTAGTCAATCAGATGGTCTTGAGATCATAAGATTATGTAAACTAGTTTTTAAACTAGTACAGGTACATATCGATATTGATGAGTATACGTAATTTTATTTTCTCAGTGAGACGAATAGAATGATACCAAGTGATCCGATTTCAATCACTATATCATGATATACGAAGTGAATCAATCACTATATCATGAGATATACGATGTGAATATATCATGGATTTTTACATGAGCATTTAGCAATACAAGTCAACTATTGTTGGGTCAAAATTTTCAGCTGGACAATGAGTGGGCTATGACTTCATTAGTTGATCTTGGGCAAAATTAGTTAAGTCCGACTAGAGGTAAAAACCGAATTAGATTAAGGGTAGGGGGTACTATATGTATTAAAATTATATATGAACTTAATGGTAAATTTTTTTATATTTAATTTTATAAAAAATTATAATAAGTAAATTAATATTAATTTATAAAAAAGATTTGTAGAACAGGTCTTTCTGATTTTAATAATAGTAAAATCATTAAATTTGATTAAAAACTCAGTAAGATATGATTTTTTAAAAATTGAGTATAAAATTTATTAATTAAATTAACTTATAGAATTATATCAATTAAATTTAGTAAACTTAACAATTTCATGTTATTTTAGAATTTTTTAAGTCAACTCAGAAAATTTTTGTGATATATAAGTATATATTTTTTAGATATAATAATAAATAAAATTTTATCATAATAGATAAATTATTTTTATTTATTTTGTAAAATTTTAATAAAAATTGATTGTAAGTTAAAAAAGTTTTATTAGTAGCATATATTGATTTTATATGAAAATTTAAAAACATATAAAACTATATAAAAAATAATTTATGTATTTTTTATTCTTAAATACAACTAGTAAATACCTATCATTTTGCTAACAATTTAAGCATTTCTAAAAGTTTAACTTAATTGGAAACTCTGTTGTATAAAGTATAAGGTATAAGTAATAAATAATAGTTTATAAAGAGGAGTTTTATTTTGTTATATTCTATTTAAGCATAAGGTAAAAAGTTTTTAGTTAGTTGATTAGTAAAAATTGTATAATGATATTTATTAATTAATGTATTAATAACTTTAAACAATACTTTAAAAGATAAATATCAAAAGCAAATGCCTCTGTACACAAAATCTTAGAATTGATTAGTCTTTGTAACTTATTTATCATTTAATATTTTTTTAAAAAAAAATAAAATTAAAGATGCTATAACAAATGATAATAAAAATAAATTTTTTAGGCATAAAAATTAGTGACCTAAAATAAATTTAAAGGTCTCAATACTAAATATTTGATAATTTTCATTTTTTTTATTGAATTTTTATTAAAAAGATAAAATAATAATTACTGATCAGCAAAAACTTTATTAAAAGAATTTGGTAATTATTTCTAAATATACTACATATATTTTAATGTTTTTTTGCAAAGTCTTGGAATAGTTCAAATTTATTAAAACTAAGTAATATTAGAAAATAAACTATATAATATTAGATATTGACTTTATTAATAGGTTTTTAGACTAGATTACTGAAATTTAAACTAATATTCAAATTGCAAATACTATCATCTTCTTTTATAAAAAATTATTTTTTTATATTAGAAATAGATTACAATAAAGAATATAATTTCATGTGACTAAAATGCTGTCTGCATAGATTTTTCTCATTTCTGGTTTTGTGCAACTGCATTGCATAGTTACTTATTAGTTAATGATTTTAAAATTCACATTAAAAATTTTAGCATGTATAGTGCATATAAGTGGTTGGCAATTAAAATTATTTATAAAATGCATATAAAGAGTTTAAGAAATATCATAAAATTTTGCATATATGTAATTATGTAAATATGTATTTGTAAGTTACATTTTGAATAGATAATGAATATATATAATATATAGATATATAAAATTGATATAAAAATGAGAAAACTGTTATAAAAGTTTATTAAGCACATATTTGATAACAAAATATATAATTATAAAAAATAATTTAAAGAAACAATAAAGTAATAACTAAGATTTAATTATAAAATTTTGGTTTATAAAGTTTTAAAAGAAAAAGAAGTGAGTAAAAAAAAAAAACAATAATATTTAAATAAGAGTATAATGCTATATAACTAAATGTTAACTTTTTTTGCTAATCCTCAATTTTATAAAGTCAAAAATCAATACACTTTAGTTTGCTTCAAAGTTAATTAAATAAACAGACCTTGTGTTATTAAAAAAAAAGAAAGAAAATACAAAAACAGCTATAGTTTAATAGAACAACTTCTGGAAGAAGCTGCTTAATCAAAGTACAAAAAACTTATTTAAAAATTTTTAAAAAATTTTTAAAAAATTTAAAACTTAGCTGTATCTTTGTAATGCTGATCAATCAATATGTAAACAAACTACAAAGTAAACAATTATGTAAATTTAGTAAATAAACAAGCAAAAAAAGTAGCATGTATCTAATTAGACAATAAGCACAAAATGTAACTAACTAAATAAGGTATTAATATATAATAAATATAAGTACTATTATTAATTAGTTAAAAAAATAAAAGTTTCTAAAAATAAAATAATATAGAAAGTTAGACAAACAACTAGTATTAAAATACTGATAGCAGAAATTAAAAAGCTTAATAACTTAAATCAAAAAACATTAGCAGAAAAGTATGCATATTTGAACAAATTAAAAGTTTATATTATATAAATAGATATAAACATAGCAAAGTTTTTAGATGCAAGTGACCTAACTCAAGTATATATTATAAGAGTCTTAGTAGATAAGTATAGAAAAGTGCAAAAAAATCTTTTTTAAAAAAAGAGTGTAATAATAAAAAAAAGATTTCTAGTTAACTAAAAAAAAAAAGTATATGAAAAGCAATATGCAAGATGTAATATATGATAGTAAAAAATAAGTACAAATTACAGTAACAAAGATGAAGCTAGAGCTACCAACAATATAATTAGTAAGTTAAGAGACTTATACAAAAAGAAAAAGTATAGTAGCAGAAAAAGATACTAAAGGTATAGACAAAAAAAAGGAAAAAGACAAACAATAAAGTAGTAGAAAATAAAGACTACTAAAGTAAAGATTTAATAAAGCTAGAAGCATTTATAACACAATTAATAATTCAAGAGAATAGTCTTAAACAAAGGCACCCAGATAATAAAATAAAAATAATTAATAAAAAAAAAATAATAGAATCAATAAACAAGCAAAAGTGCTCTTAAATAAAACAGAAAAGAAATTCTTAAAAACTCAAATGAAGAAGCAAAAATAGAAAACAAAATAGTACTGCTAATGACAGAATGTGATATACATAATCCAAGAACAAAAGAGTCAAAAAGACTTATGTTTCTAAGATATAAAAATATTTCAAATAAGGAGTTATCAATAAAAAAAAGAAGAAAAAAGAACAAAAAGTAAAATTCAAGAAGACATTCATATATCAAGATAAGTACCAAAAAATATAAATAATTCTATTTGGGCTAATAAAAGCAAATCAAAAAGCTTTATTCAAAATAAAGCATTAAAACAAAGCAATAATAAAAAGAATAAGCTAAACAGAAAAAAGGCCTATTAGTAACACTAACATTATAGAACTTATTAAAAAATACAAAATATAAAAGAGTTATAAGATGTTTAAGCTTTTATAAAAAAGCAAGAATTTTTGAATAGAAAACACTTAAGAAAACCAAAGCAACAGTAATGCAAGTTACTGAATAAAATCAGAAGAGATTAGACCTACTAGTGACAAGTTGGTCAATGCATTTTGAAAAAAAACAATATATAGAATCATATAGGAAAATTTGACTCAGAGGTGCTAGAAAAAAGAAGAAAATACAAAGCAGTACTAAGTGATATTCCAAAATCAGCACTAGAATCAATATTGTTAAAACAACTAAGGTTATTAGAAGTTAAAACAATTTTTATATCTAACAATAGTAATGGTAACAAAAAAAGTATAGCCTTTGCTTATTTTAGATCTGAAGAAGATTATCAAAATGCAAAAAAAAAGAGTGTTTTTTATTATTATAACAAGTTGTCTTAATATAAAGGAAAAAAGATATTGCAAAAAAAAACAAAGATAAATAAACCAGATTAAAAAAATACAGAAAAGTATATTTTTTAAGATATCTATAACTTTGAACATAAAAAGACAAAATCATTCAAGTTTAAAGTATATATATTAAAAAAAAAAATAGAAAAAAAGAACAAAAAACAGCAAAGAATACAAAGAAAAATTATTAATTATGCAGTATATTGATAAACATTAAAACATATTGTAAAAAATACTTAAAAGCTCAATAATTTGAACAATAAACAAGTAAATCCTGCTTATAGCTCCTAATAGGTGCCTTAGTTAAATTAAAGAATCTTGGTATAAAGAAAGTAGATGCTTCAAAGTTAACAGAAAATAGAACAAAGAATCTCTATAACCAAAAATTAATATACAAAAAAGTATTATTAATAAAATAAATCAGAAGAAGCAACATAGAGCTAAACATTGTATACTATAACATTAATGATATGAAAAGCAATAAGCATAAAATAGAACTAGTATATGAATAGGCTGTAGACAATAAAATTAATATACTAGGTTTGGCAGAAACAAATATTAGTAAGAAAGAAGGTTTTTTTATAATGAAAAATTTAAATAAATATAAAGAGTTTTGGTCAGT